AGAACCAACAGTAGAACTTGTTTTGGGGCGAGTAGGTGCCTTAGTTTGCTGAACATTTCGTAACTGGGACAAAACTAGGAACATAAAAATGAGTGGAGGAAAGAGACAGATGGGCGCTAAACTACCAAATGTTTATTGCCGGTGCAGGCTGAAAAACAGGTAAACTTTTACTCATGCACAGAGGCGTGGAAGAGTTACCTAAAACATGTCATGTGTTGTGTGTTCATTCTTTTTCTGTCCTGTTTTTTGCTTTGTTCCCTTCAGTGTCAATGTAATCACGTTTGGCGCCCGCCCCACCGCGGTGGTCTAGCGGCTAAGGTACTCAGCTGCTGACCTGCAGGTAGCGGGATGCTGGCTGCGGCAGCTGCATTTTTGATGTAGGCGAAAATGCTGTAGGCTCGTGTGCTCAGATTTGGGTGCACGTCTAAAAACCTCAGGTGGTCGAAATTTCTGGAGCCTTACACTACGGCGTCTCTCCTAATCATATGGTGGTTTGGGGACATTAAACTCCACAAATCAATTAATCAATCAACATTTGGTGCCCATCTGTCTTCTTGCTCCCCTCATTTTCATGTTCCTAGTTTTGCGCTAGTTACGAAATGTTCAGCAGAGAACAGACACTAATGCTGGGTAAAGCATAGGAGTTGTTATTAGAAGTAATTGTAACGCAAATGTGGAGGAATGAAAGTGGACGAAATGATAACGTGCCACCGGCAGGATCCGAACTTTCGACTGTCGAATCCGATGCCACTGAGCTACATTAAACTAAGTAAAAGCTAAATTTTCTTCCTCTGTGTGCGTCATGGAAATCCCGTGCATGCACCAAACACAGAGGTAGCTACTCCAATGGCTGCTTTAAAATGCTGGAAAGCATTCCCACCACTGGTAGGGGGAACGGTTGTGGCGCCCAGTGGATTTCGACACTCTTACCAAAGAGGAATTCTTCTTTTAACACCGTTTTTATCCTTCTGCTTTCTTTGTTTACAACATGTAGTGATTCTGCTGAGATAATTCTAACATTTCCTGATTTCGGGCGTATCAATGCCTTCAAAACATTGCTGCTATGCAAGTCTCTTACCTCCGAGACATTTTTAAATGCAACTGCCTTTTATAATTCTTAGTGGCAACTAGAGATGCTATTGCACTGTATGACCTGTACGCAATGCATATCTATTGGCCACCTCCCAAGAGTTGCTGTGTGATGCCATGTAGCAAAGGGCTGCATTCACGTTTATTGTGGATCCTGTGGCTTTGCATGCGCTTACAGTTTCGGAGACTAGCTACAAGTTCACTGTGGCCTGGCCTTAGCTATTGGGCTACTGCGCAAGCTCATGGGAAACATCAGGAAGTGGCTGGATTGACTCTTGTTGAAGGAGGGGGCTCATGCTACACAAGTTTGCATTCTCTGCTATGTAGTAGATTGTGTGACAGATATCTCGCAGTGTGTAGCAGGTAGTTAACAGAAGTCTTGTCAGAGTGCATACAGGTCCTTGCAATCCTTGAAAACCCTTGAATTCGAAAAATGTGCTTTCAAGGCTCTTGAAAGTCCTTGAATTTCCTGTGCCATACACACTCATATCAACATTGCGGCTTCCGAATAGTGGATTGGCATATCAACCTGTCAAACTCTCCATTTGAAGAGCAGTAATGCGGTGTGGGCTCACGTAATTATGTTTTGCAGAACTGCACGTGAAAAAAAAAAAAAAAGTGTCAGTTTTGTGGCGAGAGCGAAGCAGTGAAAGTGATAGCAACAATGTTACACAAACAGAAAGCGGCTCGGTACATGTAGTGCTCTACTTAAGCACGAAAAACGCATGAAAATCACACGCACAGGATGAATGCTAGCGAACAACTGTCACTGATCGACACTTGCCATGTGCTGCTTAAATACAGAGAAGGATGCTTGAAAAGGATGTGTGTGTGACGCCCCGCTGCGGTGGTCTAGTGGCTAAGGTACTCGTTTCATACAAAAATACCTAGAGGGGAACCTTGCTCTAGTGTCTACGTGGGTTCCTTCAACGGCCCTTGTACTCATAGTTTCTCACGAACTTACCGAGAGTAAAAACGGGTGCTAATGAGCTGCTGGATGCAAGGCAATGACAGGATATGTGAGCTTTGAACTTGACACGAATTTTATACTTCGAAAACGAGTCTGACTTCACGTTAAAATGATTGGTTTCTTACTAAAAGAGCACGTGATAAGCTATTTATTTTTGTCATTGCACAGAAACAAGTTTTACTTAGCACTAGAACCTTCTTCATAGTTGTACAATTTTTACAAAGCTTAAGAAGTAATCAATGGCGGCTAAACCTGGCAGGCAGACGACAATGCGAGTATTCCCTGCGCCATTTTTATGTCGTCTGTTTCTTTTTTTCGCCGTTTGGTTGTGCTGTCAAGGTAAGTGGGCTTTTATTATAGAATATAATAGGCGTGAATGAGATCTGCTTATAAACGTTTTGTTTTAGAGAAGCTTTATTTATGCAGTCATATTCGCTTTTGAGCCGAAGCCTCACTCAACAACAGCCAACACAAGCCTCACAGACACATATACCGTCATTCCCAGTGCGGGACGCCTCGAGAAATTCGCATATACGGTGTCGCCACACCTCCCTCTTGGTATTTTGTGAGGAACTCTATGCTTGTACCCCCATGGGAATTATAGAAAGTACAGGCTTAGGATCCACTTCGGATGGATTATATTCTTGAGATTCACGACACTTCTTTTCCAAGTGTAAAACTAAGTGACTTGAACTTATATTTAATTGAAACTTGCTTAATTTATTTATGTACAAAGTTTATTGCAAAAAGTTTTCGTAACGAGGCAGCAAAAGTGAAACCTGGGCAAATTCAACCATCAGAATATGCATTGCTCTGCCATTGCATTCTAGATTTGGCATCAAGATTCAATGAATTATTTTTTACAACATTTGAAAATAAGCATGCTTGTTTTTCTCTCAAAAGTGCACATTATCCATTTTTGGAAATAACAGTACAATGTTAAGTGAGAAACACTGAACGTTTCTTCTTCTGTGACGCTAGGTGCTTGTGTCCAAGTGGTCTGCCCCCAACATACCTCCGGTTTGTTGTGAAGTCGAGTCAGTGGAGCATGACGATGCGTCTACTTAGCTTCGTCATCATTTCGCAGTCAATTTCAAATGAGTTTAGGCAAGACGCGCTCGTGAAAAAACATGAAGTCGATGCAATATTCTGCACTGGCATGCAGTGGTGAGTGGACGACACTTCGTTTAAATTGTCGAATACGAATCGTGAAGCTTCAACGTCGCAGCAAATTTTAGACCTAGTGGTCTTAAGCCTCTTTGAACAACAATGGTGCTGCTTCAGTGCTTTTCACCGTACTCACTACCCGCACCGAGCGAAGAACGAAAGTTAAACTGTAGAAAAAAGTCTGTAGAGAGTTCGCTAGCTAACTCTATTCAATCCGAAGCCTGTACTTCCCATAATTCCCATGGAGGTACACGATCGCAGTTCCAGATTCTTCTCTAGGTATTATTGTATGAAACTCCATGCTATCTGCTGTCCCAATCGTACTGAGCTGCACAATTTCACAGGTGAGCATGACTGACTCCTCTGCACCGCGCCACTCACCACTAAGGCATTAACGAGGCAACCGCCACAGTTTGGTGCAGCTTCGGATTACTAATATGATTCCAAGCTACTGAATGATGTTCCACCGAATTATAACTGGTCATTGTGTGCAGCAGTAATGAATGTGTTAGGAACTACACAAAAACATATGTGCACAGTAACTGCTGAAACATTCAGTTTAAGCTACATGAGCTCGTGAAAAAGAAATCGGGTCCAGCCCAGACTGAAGAGGGGCTGTAAAGGAAGCGATTTAACCTGTTACCCAGCAACAGACATGCTTTCTTCCCGCTACGTCGCCACTGCTGTCGGGTCTGAAACAGCCAGGCAGACCTGCTTAAGAGGCGAAATCTGTGCTCGCATAGCTTTCCAGCCTCTCCAGCTTACTGATTCGTGCTTTTCTGATGGCTTCCTATATTTCGCTTCCATATTGGAGGGGGGGGGGGGAAACGCTTGGGCATGTACTGCATGCTTTTTTCGCGTGCGGCTGGTGCACAGACCAGCAAAATGGCAACCCTGTCGCTGCTGCTCCTCGCACATGACGTCAAGTTCATGTCTCCTATACGTTTCTTAATCTTTGTTAAGGTCAAATAAGATTAGGCTGAATGTTTTTGAATATGTTTGATACAGAGCATACAGTGGAAAAATCTCAACTGCTGCTGTAAGAGTACACTGTGTTGAGAGTTTTTTTTCTGTTTAGGACTTGCAGAGTGATCTAGGCTACTCATTGCTACATTATTAAGATATGCATTTATTTAAGTGAAATAACGCTACACAGGACGTTTTGAATGTACTTGAGTAGCTTCAAGCCTATGCTGAAAAAATCTCGACTGCTTTTGTGAGCTTTGTGTGTTGCGATCGTCAGAAGTTATAAAGACTAGATGTTTTTGTTATAATTGCAATATCCATTTTTCATTGTAAGCAGGATCAGTCATTTTTGATAATTTTGTAGGGGAAAATTGCAACTTTGCATGCTACTTTGAGTTCTTGAAAAACTTTTTACAAAAAAGTTCTTAAATATCCTTGAATTTTCACCTTAAAAACCGGTACGAACACTGCTTGTGTATCTGCAGTGCTCGAAATCGAAATTTTGCCATATAATTTGACAGCTTGTTATGTTCTTCCACTATCTGCGTTGCTTGCTGTTCTTGAAGCATGAAACATGGCTTTCCAACTGCCTGTAGTACTTTTACAGTGGTAAAGCAGTGTTTCTGTTCTGTAACATATACAGCATGCAGCATTTGATGGAAATGGAGTGGCAGATATTGTGGGTTGTCACTAGCACTGTACTTTCATTCATTGTCTCAGTGTCACAGAAGGTACAATGCAGAAGTTTGTTGTGGTTTTGTTCCTAATTATGTCAATATTGTTTATGAGGTGGTTCTCCCATATGCAGGGTCACCAGTGCACCATGCCAGCGGTGCCTACAGGAGCTCACGGAAGGACCGAAAGGCCGTTTTTTTGACTGGGGCCCTGATTGCTCCTGGCGCACAGTGCGACTGCAGCAAGAGCTGCGTATGTTACAGATAGAACCTCCTGAAGGCATTGCAGCTCAGCCACTGGACCCTTTGTGTGTCCACTGGCAGGCAGTTATAGCTGGACCGCCAGACAGCCCTTATGAAGGTGGCCGGTTCCTCCTCTTTGTGCAGATTCCGAGCGCGTGAGTATCAGTGTTTTATTGAACTATTTTATGCTTAAAGGGGTGCTAAAGGCAAATAACAATTTAAGTCGAAGTAAAAGTTAAATGTTTAGCAACATCTAAAATGGCAATAGTATCAATAGAGGCTTGGTTTTTAGGCACTAAAAAGTGTGTTTTAGACGCCAAAGACAGGCAGGTAAAACACTGTTTTAGGCACTCAAAATCATAATTATAGGCACAATAAGTTTTTACGAAAATTGAAATAATGCAAAACAATGACGTCGGTGACTTGTATCTACGCCAAGAATAAAAAAAAACAATATTGTTTAAGATAGCAGAAAGGTATCAACGATTGAACATAGGCATGCATTTCCGGCGCGATTCACAGTATGTGGTCTTTTGTTTTATTGTTTAGCATTGTGCGTCAAGTGTCCACCATTCAATTAACACTTTCCTGGGTCTACTTTTCATTGTGGGTGGGAAGGGCAGCGCAGGAGCAAATAACCAGGCCACTGATACCCCACCCCAGAAGAGAGGGATGCTAGGTCTAATCGCGTAGGACAGATTTCTCTCCTGTCGGTGAACACCTCAAAGGACTCCTCACTAGGTTTGGGCATTTCGAGCTGACAAGCATAATGGTGCACTTTGCACTCCGGATTATTCCTGTTAATATTTGCAAAATTGCATGTCGCGGAAAAATGCTCAATTTCTAAGAACGCCACTTGCCCTTCTCGCGGGCGTGCGCCCCAAGATCTAGGGAGTGACGTACACCAAGAAATGGTCCTGTTTTTACGTCGCTCCTTTACGTTGACATTGGTGGGCTGACGTCGCATACCATAAGCTCTTCATCAGAACTTCGTTAAATGCTAGCTGTATGTAGAAAAACAGACAAAAATGTCCCGCTACCTGATTATATCCTGCATTTTAAACGGTACCTCATTAAGAGCTTTCACGTGGCATTACTTGGCACAAACAATTATTGTGTTCTGTTGTGTAGCATGAATGAGGAGTAGTTTGGTTTGGGCCAGCTGATTCATATTATTTTGAAAAGGAAGTGCAAAGACAAAAGACAGCGCTCTTTGTCTTTATGTGTTTCTTTTTCCTGTGTCTTTGCACTGCCCTTTGAAAATCAGTATAATGAATGAAAGCTGAGAAAAATAATAAAAAATGCAAGCGGAATCTCAGCTTGTTATTATTTCTATTTTCGTTTTGAATAGCCTCGAGATGCTATTCACTAATCGGCCCTCGTATCGCGTCCGCTTCGGTGGACCAGTCGCTATAGTGTGCTCCGCTGCTGACCCTAATGCTACACGTTCGATTGTGGCCACAATGGTCACATCTAAATTGAGGCGAAAAAGTAGACGCCCGTGTACTGCGCGATGTCAGTGCACGTTAAAAAGCACCAGATGGTCAAAATTTGCGGAGACCTCTGCTACGACATCCGTCATATTCATATCGTGTTTTTTTTTAAATGTAAAACCACACATACTACTACTACTACTACTACCCCATTTCGCTTGCGTTCGTATTCTCGTCGTTCCTGCATAGTGCCTTTGCCAACACTGACAATGCTTAGCTTATGTTTAGTGCGTCGTCTCTGAACACAGTTTCAGCAGAGTGACGTGGTGTATCGCGGTCACAATGCATGATCCTTGCCAGCCTCTCCTAAAGTACACACACTGACTGATCCATCCCACAGAAACTGGTAATACACAGCAGAGAACGCCGAAACGACAGATGGCGTTTGTACACAAGTAGGCTGGGGCACGTCATGCACGTGTAACCTTGCGTACGTATGTTGTTCTCGTTGCGTATGCGTCATGTGATTCTCCAGTCCCAATACCAAAGAGAGCAGGGAAGGATTGAGGCTCGCGATGGCTACACGGGACGAGAGGCAAGGGATTCAAGCTTGCTTCTTCGCATCATGCTTTGGTGGCTCATAGTGAACCAATTTGAAAAATCACCGTGGTAGAATGCTTTTCATTAGACACACAAGAAGTTCTAAAGTCTAAATACAACTTATTATGTCACCTAGAGAGAGATGCTTAGAAAGTAAATTACAAACAAAACAAGAGTCGTATGCTCATAACATTTTTTACCTGAAGGCGCTGCAGCAGATGGGTTATAACGTAAAAGAAAACACGCCTTCATTGACACAACACACTTTGTTCTCTTTATAAGCCATTTCATTCTGTCATGAAACTAACAAAAGACGAATTATTAAAAAAATTATATCTGATACGACATTCTAAAATCTTAATTACAATATCGCAAAGAGGACTGTTTAGGTACATTCCTTTTCGAATGTGAGTTTAGCATGAAATACTTGAAACAGGAGCTTTAACCGCAGTTTCATTTGACGCGATGATAGTAATTCCCATCCTAGTTAATTTTTTATATTGTTACAGCTGTCATTTTTGAGTAATGGCTTAGGGCAAACCTTGAAGCGCTGTTCTTTATTTTTTAATGTTTGTCACTTAAAGACACATGAAAAATAGATCTCATACGGAACAAGTGTATTCAAGCATACGTTGAATGTATGCTAAGTACACCGTTGATTGTAAACATGCCGGCGCCTGTCTCAGGCTTCGCTGTATAAAGTATAACGATTTGGCGATCTTTGCCACCACTGAATCAACAAGAGCATTCCATGAGTGGCCCTTCACTGTTTTTCATTCGTTCTCTAGCTACCCTTGGCTGCCCAGAAAAACCTGCTCTTCTTTTCCCACCGCAACACCAGGTTTTTAGGGTGGTTCTTCAGTTCCTTCAGGGCACTGGACAGCTGTCTGTAGAAGGCGGTCGCCGCGTCCTCGGCCATAGACGTCACTTTTATTTTGTTACCCCATCTTTAATTTTCCCTCCTCGTATACTCCTGCAGACGCTGAGACGTGCTTCCACTTAGGGCTGCAGAAATAGCGTCTTTTTCACTCCTTATACTCTTTCTCCAATCGCTTGCTGCTTGTCAGCTTTGTCTTAATTTAATCATATAGTGTTTGGAAATAACAATGTTGCCTTTTTTCATGAATAACGGCTTCACACCACGCTCGAAAACAAAATTTGGGCTTGAATAGTGCTCATATATGCGCTCATTTGAAAAAAAAAGGCATTTATAGGCACTTATAGGTATTTAGGCACGAACACCCAAAATAGGCATTTGCAGGCACTATAAAAACACCATAAAAGCCCTTCTTAACCTTTAATTCATGCTTATATATCAAAATGGCACGATAACAAGGCAAGGTACAAAATAGGCATTTGCCTATTATCCGGTCTCTAATTATCAACAGCAGTGCCCTACTTACCGAGAAATTCAGCTAAATGCATTGCACGACGCGTGCCATGAGCGGGACATTTTGGGAATGATACAGATGACGTGAGAGCGTCCGAATACAATTGATCACTAGTAATCGAACCAGCTGCAATAAAAAAGCTTTCCATGCATCAAGAAATGTAGTAAAATGCTGCTTGTCTGTTTCTCATAATAATAATAATAATAATAATAATAATGGTTTATTCCCTTCAATACACTGTTGATGGAGGCAGTGAGGCTAAAAGTGACTATCCGCTTGATTAAGTTCTCACCCCCCCCCCCCCCTATTTACACAAGGCAGTGGCAGTGGTGGCAACAGAACACCACAGCTGACAAAAGTACACAACATAAACAAAATTAAGAATAGTAAAACGATCAACCTCACTGAATATGGTTACTCTGACAAAAACAAAGCAAAAACCAGCAATGCAATAAACATATATAAAATTGTAAATAAAAAGTCGCAATTTGTAAACCACAAATACACTAAACATATGATTAACGTGCAGCAGTGATTGCATTTTTATCCCTTGTGTTTTTGTTTATTGTTTTTCCTACCTTTTGCTACGAACTTTGAAGTTAAATCTTAATTGTCAGAAGCATTAATAAAATATTCACAAAGTTAAGAAAGGGTGACGCCTGATGAATATAATGTCTAAATTGTAACGGTAGCTGTAATTTTTTGTCCATCATAGTTGGTTCTTGTACGAGGAAGCATCCAAGGTGGCTGATGACGGTGTGGGTATTTTGGATGGTAACGTTTCATAGAAGCAATATAAACTTTTACGTATTTTACATTTACAAGCTGGTTGTCGGTAGGGACATGCGCAACGCGCTAATCATATTTTGAAGATATGCATGAAAGAGCCTCGCTGACGTTTTTTACCTAAGGCTTGGCTGCACGTGCACAGGTTGCTGCACTGCTTTGTGAGCTTAGCTGTAGTCTTCGGGTTTTAGTTTTGGGAATGACAGGATCAGGATAGCTGTTGCGGCTTAGCTCCCAATGGATCGCCCGTAATTCTTTCTTCACTGCATCATTATCCGAGCAGACCTGTACGAAGTGCGTTGCTAAGGATGACACGAATTGAAACTGCGATAATAGCTAGTTTGCGTGGGCTTCCTATGTAAAGAGAAGGTGAGGGCGCTTCCATCCCAGTGAACCTCAACGTCCAAAAGAAAGGCAGGACACTTTGGGTGCCGGAGTTAAATTCGCCAGGACCTTTCCTTTCAAGGCTTTCATTACCCGATTAGCTATGGTGACTGATATTGATGCTCTCATTGCCGTATCTTGCATTTTCTGATAAATGATGCCGCTTTATGAGAAATATGTGTTGCTGAAGCAAAACTACAGCAGCTCACGAAGTTCTGGAATGTCACAAAGAGTGCCATCAGGAAGACCACAGTCTGCTTTTAGGGCTTCTTCGCCCGTGGTTACTGCAAAGTCCACTAGAACACTCGTAAAAAGTGATAGTGACATTGAATGAGATCATATTGTCATCCTCACTCAGTGTGACATTCTGTACCTTTGAAACAAATGCAGACGAATTCTTGTCTGCATTATCATTTACTATACAGACGAATTCTTGTTTACTGTGAAACAAATGCAGACGTGCTTTGACGTCTTGCCGGCTAGAGGACTCGACTCCTGGTGAAGGTAGCTTAATAGTCGGTAGAGGGGTGATCTGGTGAGGTCTACAATAGGCTGAAGTGGAACGCCAGGCTTGCGGACTTTAGACAGGCCATATATTGCAGGGGCTAAGTATACTGTAATTACTCGAATCTAACGTGCACCTTTTTTCCGGTTAAGCGAGTTCATAAATCGCATGCGCGTTAGAATCCAGTACGAAAAAAAATGAATACGGTCATTCTATTGCCATCGGCATTTCCAAAATGGCATTTCCATGGCGCGTTGGCCATTTCTGCCTATGTGTTTCCCATGTGCGGCACTTCATACATGTGCTGAGGAGTTCGTCATCTTGTAGTGCATTAGCATCGACGGCATGAAAGGGCAGACTCCAAAAACTCGACGACTGCCGCACGATGCTGCTTTTAAAAGAAAAGTCATCGCGTGTGCGGACAGAAATCGGGCCGCATCGCGGTCGTTCGGAGTTCCCAAAACGTGCGTGCGGGACTGGCAGAAACAAAAGCAGAATATTGTCGACAGCAAAGATTCACGTGAAGGCTTCAGTGGACCACAGCAGGGTCGGTTTTCGCAAATCGAAGGGCTGCTCGGCGAGTATGTGATTGAGCAGTGAGCGGCACAGCAGCCTATGACGACAGAACTGCTCCAAGTGCAGGCTATGCAGTTAGCCTTAAAAAAAAGGGCTAATGCGGAGCCAGTTTAAAGCGAGCATGTGCTGGCTAACTAACTTTATTAAGAGGAAAGGCTTTTCCCTCCGAAGGCGAACGGGCATATGCCAAAAGTTGCTGGAGGAGTACGAAGAAAAGCTTCACAGTTTTCAGAGGTTCGTTCTAAACTTGCGGCACAAACTACCTGCTTGGGCAAATTGGGAATGCCGATCAGACGCCTCTTTACTTCGACATGCCTGGCACCACAACCGTCGAAAAAAGGGGGCGAAGCAAGTTTGCGTGCTGACATCGGGCCACGGTAAAACTAGAGTGACGGCAATGCTCTCTTGCACGTCAGATAGGCCCCATACCGCATATTTAAACGGAAGACGCTCCCGAAAGGAGTCGTTTTCCCGAGTGGTGTGATCGTGCGGGCCAACGAGAAAAATGGGTGCGCGTTGCAATCGATCTCTTATCTTTTTTTTTTGGTCATGGAAACCGGGTGCGCATTACAATCTAGGGCGCAGTAGAATCGAGTAAATATGGTACATTGCGGGTGCGAGCTCATTCTCGTACTACTGAGGGAAGTTTGTTGAAGAAGCTCGTGTGCTATTGGTGTGCTTTTGGGTTTATGAAAATGTGGCCATAGACACGGTCCTCGGTAGCCCAGAAGGAAGCCATTCAAAGTCTACAGAGTAAAAAAAGCGTCGTCATTCTACCCTTTGACAAAGGAAATGCTACGGTCTTGTTGTACAAGAATGACTACCAGTAAAAAATGCTGGCCCTTCTCAGAGATCATAAGACGTCCGCTGCCATACCTTACGACCCTACTAGCAGGCTACAGACTAAGCTGCAAAAGTTGCAAAATTTAGTGACTACTTAAATGCAAAACTTCTTGCTGGAATGCTGAAATAACTAAAAGCTTTATCTGTTGTAAAGTCCTGTTTTAGTTCATATGGCTTTTGCTGGAAATATGTGATTTTTTTTTTTCAAATTCAGGTATAGGTTCCTCTGACCTCGCAATTGTGAAGTGCAAACTTTGTGGCTGTTTGAAACAAGCAGCAGCAGTTTTTCTGTTGGTGATTGTGATTTCTTGCAGGATAACCTTCTCTCTCCCGGTGATTTGGATCACTTGCGATACACTAGCCTTCTTGTGTAGAAACTGGAGGTTGTTGCATTTCGTACTGCTACCACTTTACGGCTTCCGTGGCTTGTTTTGGTTTCCTGATAAAGTTGTTGGTATGCTTTTTTAAAATTTTTGTTTTTTCATGGTGCCTATGCAGGTACCCCATGAGGCCTCCCATTGTGAAGTTCCTGACTAAAATCTTCCATCCTAACATAAGCCGTCATGGGGACATAGGCATTGATTCCATACAACACAACTGGAGCCTGGCACTCACCATATCAAAGGTGAGTGAGCACCTATTGTGCTACTCTTGGAGCACATGGCATTATAATTTCAAGTGATGTTCTGTTTAGAATTTTCAGGATCAAGGAAGCATAGAGACCTCTGTGGCAGAAGAACTCTCGTAAACTATAATTAAAATGGCAGTGACCATGCGACCAATCATAGAGACAGTCTGAAAATCAAATGGGGCCTAGACATTGAATTTGAGAGGAAGAGAGCACCATAAGGAGCCACCTCTCTTCATTTTCATTTGTTATTAGTGACATGACAGGTGGTGTTATTAACATTGCTTGTTTGTGGCATCAAATGTAAATTTGATGTTTCTGAAGAAAAAAAAAAATACTGCTGCTGTGTTGTGTGAGTTGCTTGAGGACTGTATTGTAGCTTCTGCAGCGGATAAGACATGAACATGTTTTAAAAATTATATGATCCATTTGAGCTACAGACATCACTACTAAAAATTACTAGGACAGCCTTTTGTAAGCATGTAAGGGCCAATGGGGTAACCATATGGCACTAGAAATAACTTCAATATGTTCGATGCCGAACGCTTACTCTGCCATCTGTATGTTTCAAAAGTGCACCAGTTTTCACTTGCCACGCAAGCGCTGTCATTCTATGCAGCTGCAGGGGATTTTCTTTCTTGCATCGTTAATGTTCAATTTTCATTTCAAGGGGTTTATTTAGGCCAGCGTGTCAGCTGTATTGCTTGCATGTCCACATGGTGGTAAGTTTAGTTTTGTCTCACGGGCAGTCATCGCTTGTTGCGCTTGTAAAAACTGATGTCTACAGTAGAATCTGTGATATGATCTTTGCTTGTACGAATTTGAAGATTGTGCAAATTTTTCAGTGGTGCTGGCCAAGGCCCTTGGCCTACAGTGTGCTAGACCACGGAGCAAGAATTCTCGAGGAGGTGGAACTGTGCTCGCTTGAGCGCCCTGAAAGCGTCACAAAATCGGGCACAGCACTTACACGCCTTCTGTTGTGAAACTCCGCTAGCTGAAGGGGGAAATGCGCGCGTCGCTCTCCCCACGCTCTCATTCAAAGCCACTCTGCTCTCATTCGCTGTTCACGCTTCGGGTCCAACTGGGTATGTTCCTGTGCGTCCTTGCCTGCTTCAAATGTTTACGCGACAGCATTAAAGGGCTCGTTTTGCAGAAAGGTTGGCGTCGTTGTCGTTACTTGGGAAAGAAAAGTTAGCGTTGTCCGCGATTACGAAATTGAGACAGATGCAAATGTCTTCGGTACCAGGAAGGAATCGCACCCACGCATTCTTCATGGCATGCAGCTGTTCAACCACAGAGCTACAACACTGCTGAAAGCTGCTTCGAAAAGCAAACGTGTCTATATGTCATGTAACATGACATGGCAGAGTCACCGTTTGAGAAGTGCTTCTCACAAATGCGGCATCAGCTTGCGATCTTTTCTAGGTATGCTTCGAGCCCACACTTCCAACCAACCTCACCAGATCACTAGGAGCTCTGAAGATAATACCCCTTCTCCTTGCAGGACACATAGCCACTGCTGCAGTTCGGCACAACATATTTCCGCCCCATCCTGAAGGAACATAGCTCGAATTCTGCAAAGTCCTCTGCTTTGTCGCGGCCTGAAAAGCATGCGCAAACAGTCAGCGCCGCTGGCACAGCACACTAAAGCCACTGAGAGCTTGTGGGGAACTTTCTGTCCCAAGGCCACCCACGCATGCGCACCCACAACATGCCAGCAAAGAGCGAGAGGTGCGTGCTGTTGCGAATGGGGGTCTACCCGGTCTCTTGTGGTAGCGTGGTGTAACCGGGTAGAGGAAACGAACGCTAACAAGAAGAGGATACGAAAAACAAATAGGTTTATGGCACTATTTACACATACTTACAGCAAAGAAAGGTTAGGGGTTTCCCAAACCACGAGCGTGGTGGTTGAACGTTAAATAGTTCAGAGCGACGTCCAGCACTCTGTGGCGTCGTTTTAAGCTCTGTTGGGCTCCTCTTTGAGTGGAACACCAATCACACACACACATCAGGTGAGGGGGACGAGCATGCACGGTCCACGTGAACGTCTAATATTGAGTCGTGATCACTGCACTGCAAGGTGGCGCCAGCGGGGCTCTTCCTCGTCGTGTGTGTACCGCTAGTCGAGAGGTACCAAGCTCCTGACAGCATACATCAAAGGGTTCGCCGATCTTTTCGCTTAATTAGCGGGGCGATTTGCGGCGGCCGCCACGGTCTCTTCCAAGGAAGATGCTGTCTTTGTTGTCCTTTCTCGAACGGTTAACGGCGTCATGGCGACACGACGTCTCACCCTCGGGCTAGCAGGGACAATGCCTGGCGAGCATAGGCAGCCCGCCGGTCGGCTTTGTGATTGAGGATTAAAAGAGCGCCGCTTCCCGTCAGCTCTGGCACCGGTCACAACAGCTTCCCCATCGCCAGATGAGTCGCCGAGGCCATCAGTCACCGCTGCTGCTGCTCGAAGGGACGACGAAAGGGTGCGTAGTTGAAAGTCAGGAACTCGCCTTTGCTTGCCACATGGTCTGGGTAATTGCCGAAATCTTCGACAGCGTCTGGCAGACTGGGCGCCGAAGGTGTTGAGAGCCTCCCCAGTAAACCGGCTTACGCACAATGGCGTCTGCCCAGACGAATTGCCGGGCCAAACGTAACAGCTCCTCCGCCGCCCGGAAAAATCTCGGCTGGCCAGCGCTCCCAACCGCTGGGCACGAAGAGAACGGCTGGTGACGAGGATATGGCCTGGTTTTGACCCTCCAGCTGCGAACTCGTAAGCAACTTTCAAACCAGCTCACAATGATCGACAACAGCAAGGCGAACCATACAACACAATACCATGCTGCAGTCAAGCACATTGAACCCGCTTAAAACCCTCCAGGCTTCTCAAAAAACACAAACAAAAGAAAAACCTGTATGCTAAAATTTTGAGACAATTTGGTGCCGCCAAAGTTGCAACAATCATGGAGGAAGACTTTTACGTAAAAATTAAAATTAACTGAAACGAACCACTTTGGTCATATAATGCTAAAAGCCGTAAATTTGAAGTGGCCTTTCATTCCCTAAAACAGCTCTTTTCAGACGAGTCTACTAAGGTCATCTGCATTGTTGTGCAATTTACCTTTCTTATAACGAACCTCGAAGTTATACTGCTGGAGGGTGAGGCTCCATCGGAGCAAGCGACCATTTTTGTGTGACATTTGATTGAGCCATGTCAGGGGACAGTGGTCTGTTTCAAAGATGAACCTCGCTCCGTACAAGTAACATGACAACTTTTGGGCTGCCCAAACCAAACAGGCACATTTCTTTTCGGAAGCGCTGTAGGCTTCTTCTCGGACCGTTAGTTTGCGGCTGGCATAAAGAATAGGGTGCTCTTCTTGATTGTCGTTAACCTGGCTAAGCACAACGCCCGTGCTCCTGTCGCTCATGTCGCACTGAACTATAAATTCCCTACCATAGTCCGGTGCACGTAGCACAGGTCGGGAAACGAGTGAGGCTTTCAAACCCTGAAATGCGGCTTCTTTGTCCTCATCCCATTTCACGCGGTTGGGCTCCCCTTTTCTTAAAACGTCTGTAAGAGGACTCGCTCATTGCGAAAAATTGGTGATGTAACGCTGGTAGTACCCCACAAGTCCCAGGAATGACCGAATATCGGTCTTAGTACGTGGACGTGAAAACCCGGCAATCGCGTCTGTCTTTATTTCGGCCGGCTGCCTCCTTCCCTGCCCCACAACATGACCTAGGTAAGTGACTTGAGAGCAGCCAAAATTCCATTTCTCAGCTTTCATTGTCAAACCTGCCTCTCTCAAGCGCGAAAATACCTTTTTTAGGTGCTTGAGGTGGTCCTCCCAGCTGTCGGAAAATATTGCGACATCGTCTAGGTATAAGAGTGCAAAGTCTTGCAGTTCTTTTAGTACAATGTCCATTAACTTTGAAAAGCTGAAAGGCGCATTTTTTAGACCGAAGCTAAGAACTAAGGGTCTAAAGGTGCCAAAAGGTGAAATGAATGCCGCATAACGGCCGGCACTTTCTGAGAGAGAAACCTGCCAGTATCCTCTTACGAGATCTAGCGTGGAAATGTACTTCGCTGCGCTGACCCTTTCGATTCGCTCCTCAATATTGGGTATAGGGTACAACTGATCCCTAGTGATAGTATTCAATTTCCGGTAGTCTACACAAGGACGGGGGTCTTTATTAGGGGCTTCCACAAGTATTAGTCGGAACGTGTAGTCACTTTCAGCGGGCTCGATTACCCCAAGCTCCAACATTCGCCGTATTTCGACCTCCAAAATCTTTCTGTTTTGGAGACATTCGGTATGGCTTGGATCTTACCGGTTCGGCTGATGTCAATTCTATTTCTTGGGTTATCAATCCTGTTCTACCCGGCCGACGACTGAACCTGTCTATGTACTGCTCCAGAAGTTCTCTTAGTTCTTTTACTTGTTCAGGCTCAAGAGCTTTAGTGTTTAAAGAGGAAGCTACAACCTCTTCTAGGCTCATTTCTGAGTTGGAAGTTCTCGTGCATTCGTCGAACTCAGGCTGAATTTCTTCGGGCTCTTTTAGAGTGAGGTTCACAAGTCCCCGACGCTATATGTAGGGCTTCATCAGGTTACAATGGTATATTTTTACCTCTTTTCTTCGACCTGGCATTTTCAACACGTAGTTTGTGTCAGAAAGCTTGTGCATCACTCTGACAGGCCCGTCCCAATGAACTTCCAATTTGTTTTTTCGTGGCGGTTTTAGAATCATTACTTCATGCCCGATATTAAAGGTTCTAGTCTCGCATTTTTGTCGTAGTAATGCTTGGCTGTCTTTTTAGCTCTTTCCATATTCTTTTCTATCAGCCCTTGCATCGTACTCAGCCGCTCTAGCAACTTCAGCACGTTTTCGACCACAGTTTGACTCTCCCCCTTTTCTTCCCACATTTCTCTCAGCATCCTAAGTGGGGAACGCAGCGTTCTGCCGTACACTAACTCTGCTGGCGAGAACCCCGTGGCCTCATGCGGGAC